GACAACCACAGCCAGCTGTTCTGGAGAATGAAGCAGGGTGTTGGTTCAGCATCGCTTCGTGCGTTAGCATCTGGTTTAGCTTCTTGCCGCGTTAGGCGGCTCCGCCTCACCCGCTCTCGTCTCTAGTTGCGGGCTCCTGTGATCTTGGACCTTGCCTAGACTGGAAACTCGACAAATGGCCAGGCAACAAGACCTGGCAGAACTTTCCAGGCATTAGTCTAGGTCCTCCAGTTTTGGAGGTTAGAATAAATTGTGGTACCAACTTTTTTCGGTTTCGTCTTAGTAGGGGATTCCTGCCAACCAAAAGAGGGGAGAAAAGGGCACTGGGGGACCTAGTAGTTCTCGTTTTCCCTGGCCATTTTTTGGGGGATTCCCAAAGATGGAGGGAACCCCCCAAAACGGGCGAGCTCCTTCTACCGCTCCCTCCTCCCCCCCCCCCGGAGCGAGGAACTACTAGGGTAAGAACGGGAAGGGATGAATCATGTGGCCATGGGTCAAAATCCCGGTTAGCCTCCAGTGAACCTCCCAATCAAACCACTAAAATTTAGGTTGCCTAACATGGGCGGTGAATTCACCTGCCACCCAAAATGGGATCCCAAAACGGTTTTGACCACCACAGCCATGTCCAGAATGATTGCCAGAATGTGGGGCAGATCGTTGGGCGCGGTCTCCGGATCCGTCCCCTGCGGCCCTTCGGCCCAGCGGCCGTTGGAGCAGCGGTGGATGGCGTCGCCGGAATCTCCAGATGCTTCCTGACGAGCCAACGGGACATGGCGAGCCGCTTCCGAGTCAGGCGAACTTCAGTCATGCTGGATGCTACAACTAGGTCCTCCAGTGTTGGAGGTTGGAAAAAATGGTGGTACCAACTTTCTTCTGTAGTCTATTTTAGTAGGGGATTCCTCCCCCCAAAAAGGGTAAAAGGGCACTACTGGGGGACCTAGACAACATCACACATTTGAAATGGCGCTGGCTGCCATGCCAAAACAAAAGAATGTTTTTTTTCCTTTTTCAGGAAAGCCACGGGGACCGCTCAAGCATTCACACGGTGAGCTTACCCCAAGTCGAGCTTTCGCCGAAACGAACACCACAGGTGGCGAAACCGGTTCGTGGCTTGCCCCGCGTTTTTGATCTCTGGGGGGCTCTGGGAGCCCTGAGGCAGGAAAGCTGCACAGGCCACAAAGCGAACGGGAAACCTGAATCGGGAAGCTATCACGCCCTTGAGCTGCAGAAAGGGCAAGAGAGGTTAGAATAAGGGTACCAACTTATTTCTGTAGTCTATTTTGGAAGGGGCACCCTCCCCAAAAAAAGTTGGTAAATGGGCACTACCGGGGGACCTAGGCAACCTAAAGACATGCCCCATCCATTCAAATGGCCTGCCTCACGCAAGTTCTGGGAAAACCAAAAGGTGCCAGCTTGGGATAAAATCCAATCTTGGTTGCTGTTAACTTTTGGGGGGGTTAGTGGAAAACCCCTTGTTTTCCCTAAAAGTTAAAGTCTAAAGATCCAACCCAATAGCAGTCAAGCAATGGTGGTTTGCCCCGGGTGCTTTAAATGAGGCGTCAGGGTGACGAAGACAATCGACCCCAAAGAGGACACCAATTCTCGTTGCAAAAAAAACACTTTTAACGAAAAAAAGAAAGAAAACCAAAACATGTCTCACTGGCTGAGTGGATGGCCCACAAAAAGTGCAAACTTTATATTTACCACTAAAATGGTCTTCCGAAAAAGTTTAAAGTGCATGAACTCAGGAAGTGAGATGTATATATATATATATAGAAAGAAGAAAAAAAATAAGAAGAAAAAAAGAAGAAGAAAAAAGAAGAAAAAAAAACGGATGGCCCAGCAGACTTGAAGCTGCATCGCAGTTCGTCTCAGCTGTCAACCCGTGAAACCGGACTCAGAAATCCCCAGGGTGCCAGAGGATGCAAAAGGTCTCCGAGGAATGGGAGCACAGCATCCTACCGAGAGAGACAAAAAGAGAGCGAGAAAGAGAAAGAGAGGGAGAAGGAGAAGAAGAAGGATCTGAAGGGAAAGAGAAACAGAGAAAGAAAGAGAAAAGAGAGAAAGAGATAAAGAGAGAAAAACAGAAAGAGAGAAAGAGAGAAAGAGAGAAAGAGAGAAAAAAAGAAAAAGAGAAAGAGAAAAAGAGAAAAAGAGACAAAGAGAGAAAGCGAAAAAGAGAGAAAGACAGAAACAGAGAAAGAGAGAAAGAGAGAAAGAGACAGAGAGAAAGAGATAAAGAGAGAAAGAGAGAAAGAGAGAAAAAGAGAAAAAGAGAAAGAGAGAGAGACAGAAAGAAAGAGAGAAAGAGAGAAAGAGAGAAAGAGAGAAAGAGAGAAAGAGAGAAAGAGAGAAAGAGAGAAAGAGAGAAAGAGAGAAAGAGAGAAAGAGAGAAAGAGAGAAAGAGAGAAAGAGAGAAAGAGAGAAAGAGAGAAAGAGAGAAAGAACAATAAGGAAAAGGAGAGAAGGGGAAAGAGGGGAGATTGAGCTGCTGAGCGTCACTTGCTTCTCCGAATCGCTGTCGAGGAACGGCATGACCTCAACGGACAGTCGTCTGGCTCTGCGGTAACTTCGTTGCGTTTGCAACCAATTTTGGCAACCTCAACATACCTCAGATGCCCAGTCGATTTCCATGGGAAAAAGGGCCCTATCTTCTTTTTTGGGGAAGGGTTGATTGTAATTTGGGAACCCAAAAAACAAAAAACAAGTTGGACATGGGCGGAATTCACTGGGCAACCTCAAGATACAGTTCTCTTCGTTGGTTCGATGGCGGCTTCCTGTTGCCTCTCTCTTTTACACACAGAAGCGGAGCTTCTTACGTCGGAAAGGATGGTCTTCCGCAACCTGCCCGTTAAAGTCACCAAGGTTCCCGTAAACGGCCATGAACTCAACTTGTTATTATCATTATATAGTTTTAACGAGGGGAAATGTGTTAAACTCAACAGTTGTTATTTTTTACGAGGGGAAATGTTCTAAACTCAACAGTTGTTTTTAGTATATGTATATATATATATATATATATTTACGACGGGAACTGTTTTTGCAAAAGCGGTTTCATAAGCATGTGTGCCACGAATGCAAATCGTTTTAAAGTGCACTCCGCGTATGACACCTCGTATGGCCACTTGCGACAGCCCTTTAGCTTAGCTACCTGGTCACCCTCTAACCTCAGAGTCGGATGAACCTGCATAAAGAGAGGGGCGTCCTATTTCAGAGGGGTCCCCAAGGTTGTTTGCCGAACATCCTCTCTATCTATCCTGGTGTTGTCATCTGCTTGAATTACAATCATTCATCATGAGGGTTGATTCTCGCAAGCGAATTCCTCGCCTAGCAAGAAAGGCGTTTTTTTTTGGGGGGGGGATGGGGGGGGGGAGGGGGTAGCCCCAACTCCATTCCTTTGAAAGCGGCGGAGCAATGTCTCCACAGGCTTCAACTTCCGGTCGCCACCTGACGCCTGACGCTTTGGCTCCGGGCCGATGGGCGACGAAAAGTTGGCCAGCGGGCGGCTTGATCTTCCAGCGCTGCGGCTGGATCTTCCGGTCTCAAAAAGCTTGCTCCATGGGGTTTTTGTTGCATGAACACCATGCCGTTCCAGCAAAAGTGGCAAATGATCCGGCGGACATGCCTAGTGTCAAAATCGCGGACCCGGTGTCTGTTGAAAGGGAAGCCGAAAAAACCACCCATTTGCAAAAATGCAACGGGTAGGCATCACATGGGATGCCTTGGAGTCAACCCGAATAGCACTCCCAACACGTCAACTTTCAGATGGTCAACTTCATGAGCCCCGTTTCAAGCTCAACATAGGCCCACTCATGGGTGGCCAGGTGTGTCCTTTTTTTAGAAGGCCCAGGCTTTATGAAGGCTTTCTTCTGACCTGGCCTTCAAAGCCAACCCGAAAACCCGACAACAGCACCCTCCACAAACGCCCAGAGGCCTCATCTTGCAGCCCCAAGTGCTCGAATCCCAAGCGCGCTTGCCTCTTAATCGGGCAAGCGCCCCGGTTTGGGCTCTGAAAATGCCGGTTTGAGTGTCGTTCGAGTTGGCAAGTTGGCCCAACTCGGAGACAGTTCAATCACAAGTTTCGTTCGAGACACATTTCTATTCAGACCCTTTCGGGGTTCGGAGTCTTCTGTTTTAAGGGTAAGGAGAATCGGTCTTCGGGGCTAGAGGGTATGTGCATGCTCGCACGCTATCCGACCGCAAAGTGTGCCGTGGGTCTTGGCAAGTGGCCTCGAGCCGAGCATGTGGCATCCTCTTGCGAGCAAGCAACTTTGCCCTGGAACTCGACACTTGTGTCTCCAAGGGAACACCCAAAATGGCTAGTCTTCCTTTGGTTTTCCGTTTCAACCACCCGAACCAGGGTACCCAAAACAAAAGCCCCGCCCTATCGACTTGCGAGAATCACTTGGCACCATTCGAAAAAGCCTTTTCTTCACGGAGTTGTTTGTTTGCAGACTCAGCTTAAATTACCCGGGGCCCGGTAGGTCTGAAATAGGCAGACTCCAATGGCAGGTGTCCTTTGGGTTCCCGTGGAGCCGATAGGGAAAACGGAGTTTTTCGAGCTCTGCAACTCGGAGGGAAAAGTGCAGGGAGAAAAAGGGAGAGATCCGAGCTTTTGTTGACCTACCGTGGTTCCCAGTACAACAGGGTTGGTTGACCAAAAACCATGGCGACAACCTTACTTGCCACATAAACAGGTCAGAAGGGCGAAACGTGCGCGGACCCGGGTCCCGCCTGATATAGTTTTCTCATCTCAAGTTACGACATGCCACGTCCCCCCTGATTTCGTGGACACTCGGAGTCCATGTTTGCAACCACCTTCTCTGGGACTCCTATGGTCCTCCCCAAAAAAACTTGACTGGATACTTGTCCATGTTTGACACCCAAACTCTGGGATGTGCTTGTGCTTGTGGTTTGCTTGTGTTCTGTTTGTGTGGTTGTCTTTTCTCCCCCCAAGGTGTGCCGACACATCGCCTGGAGTGGCAAATCTCCCCCGGCTCCTTGCACCTCACCGGACTCCAGGCACGCCTGCTGTTCGCCCGTTCGGGAAGCGCTGAGCTGTTTATTTACCTGGAGTCTCCATGATCCTTTAAAAATGGGGTCCATGACCCCATTATTTTGGGTAATGACCCCATTTTTAAAGGGTCATGGAGACTCCAGGTACCCAGAGGCTCCAATTCGATTGATTTCGTTGGCCTAACTTGACCTGGTTTTGAGACCGGGTCCCAACCGGTTAGCAGGGTGTCTAATATGGAGTCGGGTCTTCCATTGAAAGTTTTAGCCTCTGGGTAGTGGCCGACTCAGAGCTCCGATGTCCAATTTTTGTGTGGATATTAAAAAAGGTGAATCATTGGAATTCAGTAGTCGCATTGCAACAGAAAAATATCCACCGACCCCTGTCTTCCTTCCCATGACTTCTTCTCCTGTAGGGCGACTCGCCACTTTGGGCCGAGCAGTGAATGATGTAGATACTGGAATAAATCTACCAACCAGGATTTGGTCCATCCACAGTTTGAGCTCTGCGAAGCTGGTTGTGTGCACGCACATGTGATTACGTATCCCGTGGTTGGTTTGCTGGAGTGAGTTGCTAGTTTCTTTGGGCACTCATTTGCAAAGCGTCTCCCTCACGCTGCCCCAGGAATTTGGTCGGTTTCCGCTTGAACCTATCATTTTGAGATAAATCGAAAGGTGCTTGAAACGATGGCCAGTACCAATTCCTCAAAGAGCAACCAGGAAAAACCAATGAACAGCTTCTGCCAATGGGCATGCATGAAATACATGTGGATTTAGCTCGTCCACTAGGCAGTTTGCAGTTCTTTGATGGAACTCATCGCTGAATGGAAAAATTGGCTCAACCCCCAGCCCCCAGCCCCTCTCCTTCCTGGCTCCTTGGTTGCAGCCCCAAGCCCTCCCCCAGGCCCCAGCAACCCCCGGCACCTCGAAGTAAGGGGCGGCGGGTGTCTGCAAGGGGAACCCGCCCTGCCGGGCCTCAGCCTGCGCCCGAGCGAAAAAACTGGCGGCCGATCATCGAGCGCCCAGGGTCGGAAGACCAAAGGGAAAATTGCGTTTTCCTCTGCACGCCAATGGGTGTGTCGCTTTTTCAGGGTTACCCCTTCTTTGGTGGTTGGGGGGTGGGGGTCCCATGAAAAAAACGACACCCCCACGCTCGAAGTAATTGTCTACACATACCTGAGAACGCCGGTGTAATTTTGGACGGGAGGTTCTGCCGCTACAACCAAAAACGCCGTTGATTTCAAGAAACGCCGTCAGTTTGCAAGAAACGCCGAAGGCCGCAGCTGCTATCCGATCCAACTCAGCTCAGGGCCTCGGCGCAAAGCAGTCTCAGAAGGCAGCATCATGAGTAGCTGAACACAACACAAAACAGACTTTCGCCCCTTTGCAAGGCGGCTTTGGTCGACTTGTGACATCCGCATCATTCCCTGGTGAAGATTATGATCAAGAAAGCGTTTGCGATGTTTGGGCTCGAGTTGGCACACGCGCTTCCGCCGTTGGGACGCGCGTTTCCGCCGTTGGGACGCTCGTTTCCGCCGTCGGGACGTAGGTTTTCCGCCGGCGGAAGTCGACAGTTTTGCGGCAAAGCAAACAGATCGTGCCGATTTGCAGCAACCCCACAAAACCTAGCACAAAATCTAGCAGCAAAGTTGCATAGTCGCGTGTCCGAGGTGCGCAGTCCAGATGTTGGGGTCCCTCAAATCCTGGGCTTTGGGACTTGGCCCCCTACTCCAACTACCAACAACTTTTTTAGTTGGTATGATTTGTCTTCCCTTTACTAAAAAAGGCATCGGTGTTAGTCATGGAAACCCGGTTTTTGTTTTTTTGTCCGAAACAAAATGCCAACTAGAAAAAGGCCGCGTATTTGGAGCAGGGGGAACCCTTGTTTTTAAAGGGGTCATCCCCGTTTGAGGGTCATTTGAGGACTCCAAGTCCCCCGTAAACAGCAAAAAGGCCTTTGGCATTTGGAGGGTTACGGGGGTATACCTGTCAGAAGGTCGCTCTCCCATGACACCTCACAGCTCGCTTTTCACATTACACCAATCTTCCAGGGCCCAGTGCCACGTGGGAAGGCAGTAGCTTTTGTGGGGGGGGGGTAGGGGCGGGTTTGGGGGGGGGGGGTTGGGGGAGGGTTGGGGGGGGGGGACCATGACTCAATATGAAAACGCCGCTACAACCCCCCCTTCCCTTCGAGTTCCGCCGCTGGACGGCCAAAAGGCGTCTTTTCGAGTCTCAGGCAGAAAGCTCCGCCTTTTGGAGTTTATAGGTATTTGATGATAGCGCCCGCGGAAGTTCGCATTGCGACGCAGGGTGTGTTTTTTGAGGAAGCCTCGCGCCACACGCGCCTTGTTGTCGCAAAAAGTTGGCTTGCGTGCGACAGCTTCGCATGAAACGGCCTTTCTTCACAACTGCTCTCGCTGTGGCGCCGCGCCGATCTTCGGATTTGTGTGTTGACGGCTGGATTCCATGGCCAGCGCGGCATTCTGTGAGCCTGGCTTGCAATTCTCGTCGCGAGCGCGGCATGTTTTGCGCTGATGCCATTTAAGTTGCGTTCTCACTCACTTGCAAGCGTTGCAAAACGAAAGTGACCTTCTGTGGAGATCGTGCGCGTCGAAGTGGTGGCGCTGCGCGTGGCGCCGCGCGCGGCGCCGCGCGCGTGTGTCTTGATCTCGGCGAATCCTCTGCGGAGATCGTGGGTGTCGAAGGACTCTCGCTGCGGCGCCGTGCGAATGTGTCGAGCTCGGCGAACCCTCTGCAGAGGCTGCGCGCATCGAAGCGCTCTCCCTGTGACGCCGCGCGAATGCGTCTCGAGCCTGAGGCGAACCCTCTGCGGAGATCGCGCGTCTCGCTGTGGCGCCGCGCGAATGCGTCTCGAGCTCGACGAACACTCTGCGGAGATCGCGCGTGTTGAAGCGCCGCAAGAAGTTTTGCGGAGATCGCGCGTGTCAAAGCGCTCTCGCGGTGGCGCTGTGCGAATGTGTCTTGGTCGCACCGAACCCTCAGCAGAGATTGCGCACGTCGAAGCGCTCTCGCTGTGGCACCGTACGTTTTTTGTTGCTTCCTTTGCTTGCGAAATGGTCTTGGGAAGTTGTCTCGTTGTTTACGCGCCTGCTTTCGCACTCGCGCGGTCGCAAGTACACAAGTACTCCGCAAATTGCACTTCCGCGGCTCCGACGTTTCTAAGAGCAAAAGTTGCGCGCGACGTGCGCTTCAAAATCTCAACTTGTTGCGGAAAGCGCACTCTCGCATCTCCATCTCGGAAATCGCAACTTCAAAATGCAAAGCAGCACGAGAATTACACTTCCGCATCTCCAGCTGAGAATCGCAAAAGAACCATCCGAAATACACTTCCGCAGGTAGCCGCCAGCCTTCTTGCGCAGCCAAACTGCGCACAGATATGGACAAGAGAGGCTGACAAGAGAAACGGACATGACATATTGGGCAAGAGACGCTGCAGGGCATCCCGCGCAAGGAACAGGCAGCATGCGCAGCATCATGGGCAACATCATGCACAGCGTGCCGGGTTTTCTTCTTGCGGAGGGGTTAATCCAACTGGTTGATTTCTGCGGGGGCCATTGTAGTTAAGCTACCCCCTACTCCAAATACCCACTTTTTCTAGTGTATTTTTTGGAAAACCTGGGTTTCCATGGTAAACACCTCCTTTTTTAGTAGAGGGTTTACATGATACCCTAAAAAAATGGGTATTGGGTGTAAGGGGTAGTCAGTCACCGGTTACCAGTTAGACATTAGACATTGCTTAGGATCGACGCTGTTCATCAAGTGCCCCCAGTCAAAGGGCCCCCCAAGGACCATCGGGGCAAGCGCTTGCAAGCGCCGGCAAGCGAGAACCAAAGGGTCAAAGGTCGCCGTATTTTTGGGAGCTTCGCCATTTGGATGCCTGTCGTTAAAGGGGAACCCATGGCTGCCTTGCTTTTAAGGGAAGCCCAAAAAGGACGTCGACCTTGTGGGGACCCCGAATTTTTACTGGGGAACCTCCCGAGCAAAACGGGGGAAAAGGTCGCTGCACAATTGGATCATTACAAGCTCAGCTGCTCTCGAACCTGGCTGCTGTCTCCGCCAAATTCTGCACGACCCCAGGTCACAACAGCACCAGACTGCAGAATGGCAGCAAAAGCACCACTAGTTGATTGGATGCACTGGACGTTCCTCAGCTGATCTTGAACCTGGCTGCTGTCTCCGCCGTAAGCTAGACTACGCCAGGTCACAACGGCCCCAGATTCAAGAATGGCGGCAAAAGCACTTTTAGTTGCTTGGATGCTCTGGACGTTCCTCAGCTGCTCTTGCACCTGGCTGCTGTCTCCGCCATATCCTGGACTACCCCAGGTCACAACGGCCCCGAATTCAAGAAAGGCTGCAAATGCAGCACCAAAACTACCACTGGTTGATTGGATGTGCTGGACATTCCTCAGCTTCTCTTGCACATGGCTACTGTCTCCGCCGAAGTCCGGATGACCCCAGGTCACACAAGCACCAGACTGAAGAATGGCAGCAAAAGCACCGTCAGTTGCTTGGATGTGCTGGACCTTCCTCAACTGCTCTTGCACCTGGCTGCTGTCTCCGCCGCAATCTAGCCCACCCCAGGTCACAACGGCCCCGGATTCAAGAATGGCAGCAAATGCAGCACCAAAAAAACCACTCGTTGATTGGATGTGCTGGACATTCCTCAGCTGCTCTTGAACCTGGCTGCTGTCTCCGCCGTCTTCTGGACTACCCCAGGTCACAACAGCCCCGGAATCAAGAGTGGCAGCAAAAGCACCCGCAGTTGCTTGCATGTGCTGGGCGTTCCTCAGCTGCTCTTGCACCTGGCTGCTGTCTCCGCCAGCTGCTGGATGACCCCAAGTCACAACAGCCCCAGATTCAAGAATGGCAGCAAAAGCACCGTCAGTTTCTTGGATGTGCTAAACCTTCCGCAGCTTCTCTTGCACCTGGCTGCTGTCTCCGCCGTATTCTGGATCACCCCAAGTCACAACTGCCCCAGATTTAAGAATGGCAGTGCAAGCATCAATCCTGGTTGATTGAATGTGCTGGACGTTCCTCAGCTGCTCTTGCACCTGGCTGCTGTCTCCGACGGATCCTGGATCACCCCAGGTCACAACAGCCCCAGATTCAAGAATGGCAGCAAAAGCACCCGCAGTTGCTTGCATGTGCTGGACGTTCCTCAGCTGCTCTTGCACTTGGCTGATGTCTCTGCCGTATTCTGGACGAGCCCAGGTCGCCATATCGGCTCCGTGACCATGCAAAGCAAACGCTTGATCAGTCGCAGCCAATTGGCCCAGCTGCAAAACCGCAGCCACCACATCTCCATCTCGCAACCCAGCCTTGTTCATCGTAGCTGTCAAATCGAGCTGCTGGCCTTTTGCAGTGAGCTTTAAGCGGCGCTGGAAATGCTGCTGTGCTGCAGCCTTCAGCTCGCTGATGGGGCTTTTCGCCAAGACTGTTACGGAGCAACTATCTCCGCTGGGCAAGTGAACATCCACCTTCATGGCAAGGAAACGCTCGTTTCGATGCAGGCAAGTTGACAAACACGAGCCTGCAACACAAAAATAAAAGATCCGTCATGGGCTCAGATGCCCAGTGGCCATGAGAAAAAAGGCATCCTTTTTTGGTTGGTTGACTTCAAAAGGGAACTCCTCTCCCCCCCAAAAAAAAGGGCACAACTGGGCAAGCAGGTGGGCCTTGAAGCGTCGCCCCTGCTAAGCGGCACATTCTGACTGAAGTTCTTGAGATGAAGCCCCTTGGATCGATGTCAGCGATTGGCAAAAACCACGGCACCAATCCGTTTGCAACCAGACCTAACTCCACATATCTTTCGAATGGGCCATAGACAAACCAGAAAATAATACCTAACCTCATAATATGGTCTGGGTATGCAAGGCTTATGTGTTCGAGGCACGTGACAAAGCTGCGGGCACATGGTTCATCCGCTGAGTCGTTCCAAACAACGCTTCTGATGCTGCTTATCCTGGGTTCCTCCAGAAGTCCCCGCCAGCTTGCGCTCTTTTGGCATGCTTCAGAACTCGTTAGCGACTGATCGCAGGCGCGCGCCCTTTTCCGAACGTGCCTGGCCCACATGCAACCCTTTTGACCAGCATGGACTTCCCAAGGGGGTTGAATGGATCCTACGTCATTCCGGCAGTGGCTGGCCTCATTATTCTACCATGATCAAAGTCACCCCCTAAGTGGTGGGTTAAGGGAAACAACCCCGTTTTCTGACTTTGATAACCCCCAGAAACCGTCAAAATCATGGCCCCAGAGTGAGGGACTGCAAAACAAACTGGTTCGGGCGCTTCTGATCGACCAGCCATTTTTTTGCCGGGAATCACAAGGCAGGAAAAAACAAAAAGCTTTCCAGAGCGAAAGCCTAAGATGTGATGGGAAAAGCAAGGCCCTGGACTCTTTCAGGTTGTCCATGGCACCTGGAAAGGAAAAGTGCCCCCGTAACCTCCAAATACCCGCGTCTTTTAGTTGGTATTTGTTTGAAAAAAGCCAGGGTTTGCATAGTAAAGGCCTCTTTTTTTAGTAGAGGGTCGACATCATACCCTAGAAAAAGATGATATTTGGAAGAGGATATTTGGAAGAGGATATTGAAAGTAGTGGGTGATACTCCTGGATACCTCTGGAATCCATCTATCTTCAACAGGGATCCTTACATTATACACCTGAACATTAAATGGTGGTGTCCAACTTTATGTTGGTGGAAAAAGCACCATGCTTCAAATGGTTGCAAAACGGAGATCTTTCAAGGAGCCCTGGACTCAAACCCAAAGCCAAAAACGAAGGAAGCTCTGCCCTCCGGAACTCGGCGCTTGGCCTGCAGCTTCCACGCCCAAAGGCTCACCTCCTGCGCTCAAGTTGGTACTCCAAGGGCCGGGGGGGGGGGGGGGGCCGGGCGTTCTTCTGTGGGGCACACCTGGGTGTGACTTTCTCTATTTTTTTTGTCCTTTTTGATACTTTTTAGGGGACCCGCCGAAATTGTGGAGTTTTACTTCTGGCTTGGACGATCCATTTTCCGATGTCCAGCCACCATGCCGAGGACTCTGATGAAAATCCATGGGCGTTTGCCACAACGGGGCCAGTCAAAAGCGACATTCTCGACTTTGCCGGTAACCAGCCTCCAAAAGTACCTTTGAGAACCCTTCTCACTGCAACCACTTTGCGGGACCCAAAAAAATCGGCCAGGCAGGTGTGTTGCTTAGCCAACTATTTCTCCACCGGCCTTCATGAATAAAGCAACCGGCTCCACCCACCCCCCGCCGTCCCCCCCCCCCGCCCCCAAAACACCCCGAAACACCCTCCCCAACCCAAACACTCAACCCCCCCCCCCCCAACTCAAACTACCAATCCCAAACCACCAATCCCCAACCCCCCCCCCAACCACCCTCCCGCAGTCCAGCAGAGCGCTGCTCAGCTCCGCCACCCAGCGCTCCACGCAGCGCTGAGCTGAGCGGCGCCGGGCGGCCTCCCCGCTGGACCGCAGCTGGAGCCGCCTCAGCTGGGAGGAGGCAACAATGCCCCCCCCCCCTCAGGTAATGAACTTGATATGTGTAGATAAATGCATCATCATCATCATCATCATCATCATCATCATCATCATCATCATCATCGTCGTCGTCATCATCATCATCATCATCATCATCATCATCATCATCATCATCATCATCATCATCATCATCATCATCATCAGCATCGTCATCATCGTCATCATCGTCATCATCATCATCATAATCATCGTCATCATCGTCATCATCATCATAACCATCATCATCGTCATGCTCATCGGCGTCATCATCATAATCATCATCATCGTCATGCTCATCGTCATCATCGTCGGCATCATCGTCATCATCATCATCATCGTCATCGTCATCGTCGTCATCGTCATCGTCATCGTCATCGTCATCGTCATCGTCATCGTCATCATCATCATCATCATCATCATCATCATCATCATCAGACAGATTATATGATATACATATATACTATATATTGTCAAAGGAAGTTTAACAAGAAACTTCCGTAGTACTGGAACTAAATGAGCTAGCTGCTTTGACATATAGCTATGACAGGTAGCTAGCATGACAAATAGATAGCTTTGACATATAGCTAGCTTGACAGATAGATAGCTTTGACATATAGCTAGCTTGACAGATAGATAGCTTTCCAATAGGCTTGCATGACAAATAGATAGCTTTGACATATAGCTAGCTTGACAGATAGATAGCTTTCCAATAGGCTTGCATGACAGATAGATAGCTTTGACATATAGCTAGCTTGACAGATAGATAGCTTTCCAATAGGCTTGCATGACAGATAGATAGCTTTGACATATAGCCAGCTTAACACGTAGATAGCTTTCTCAAGTATAGATTTCGTGGCAGGCGCAGCACTTTCGCAAGCACTCTCTGCGAGCTGGGGGATGGCAAGATGCAGAAAACGTTGGCGCTGTGCGTGAATTGGGCTTCCGGACTGTGCGCAAACCACCTCGGCTGCGACGCCTGTACGGAGGCGGTCTCGGAACGGTCTCGGAACGGTCTCGGAACGGGTTCGGAGACGGGCCCATTGGCACGGCCGCGCGAAGGTTTCGCAAGGTTTGAATTGCGTGGCAGGCGCAGCACTTTCGCAAGGTCAAGTATAGATTTCGTGGCAGGCGCAGCACTTTCGCAAGGTCAAGTATAGATTTCGTGGCAGGCGCAGCACTTTCGCAAGGTCAAGTATCGATTTCGTGGCAGGCGCAGCACTTTCGCAAGGTGCTGCGTCCACCTCTCTGCGAGCTGGGGGATGGCAAGATGCAGAAAACGTTGGCGCTGTGCGTGAATTGGGCTTCCGGACTGTGCGCAAACCACCTCGGCTGCGACGCCTGTACGGAGGCGGTCTCGGAACGGTCTCGGAACGGGTTCGGAACGGTCTCGGAGACGGGCCCATTGGCACGGCCGCGCGAAGGTTTCGCAAGGTTTGAATTGCGTGGCAGGCGCAGCACTTTCGCAAGGTCAAGTATAGATTTCGTGGCAGGCGCAGCACTTTCGCAAGGTCAAGTATAGATTTCGTGGCAGGCGCAGCACTTTCGCAAGGTCAAGTATCGATTTCGTGGCAGGCGCAGCACTTCGCAAGGTGCTGCGTCCACTCTCTGCGAGCTGGGGGATGGCAAGATGCAGAAAACGTTGGCGCTGTGCGTGAATTGGGCTTCCGGACTGTGCGCAAACCACCTCGGCTGCGACGCCTGTGCGGAGGCGGTCTCGGAACGGTCTCGGAACGGGTTCGGAACGGGTTCGGAACGGTCTCGGAGACGGGCCCATTGGCACGGCCGCGCGAAGGTTTCGCAAGGTTTGAATTGCGTGGCAGGCGCAGCACTTTCGCAAGGTCAAGTATAGATTTCGAGGCAGGCGCAGCACTTTCGCAAGGTCAAGTATCGATTTCGTGGCAGGCGCAGCACTTTCGCAAGATTCTCTGCGAGCTGGGGGATGGCAAGATGCAGAAAACGTTGGCTCAAATGTAGTTACTTTCGTGACTTGGGCATTTGGCACACCTCACACCTGACCACGCAACTTGTCACACTTTACTCTACCCCACAGTCAGTCAAGCGCTCCAAGGGATGTTGTTTTGTGTTGTTCTGTTTGTGCAGAGAGTCACAGTCTGTAAGCGCGTCGACGAAGTGCTGCGTGCTGCCTTGGCATTTCGGCCGGGCGACGCGGTACAGTCGCGAGAGAATGCGGAGCACGAGATCCGAGCCCGCAAGTGGGCTGTGCGCTTCGTCGTGGCGCACGACGAAGCGTACTCTGGACCGACTGGCTCTCGCGCCGCGCGCAACACCTTGCAAGTGGTGCATGTTCGCGAGGCTCCGCTTACCTACTCGGGCTCAGCAAAGCCACTCCTGTGCTTGCGCGCGGCCGCCTCACTCCCGGGCTGCCCATGCATCTACTTGTCAGACGCGACCTTGGATGACGCAGGGCAAATTACGGCAGGTGAGGATCTGCCAGTCCAGTACGCGGAGCTCTTACTGCGAGTGACGGCCAAAGATCCTGTGCAGGAGTGCAACGAAGCCGAGCGCGGAGTGCGAATCATCTTCGAGTGCGCAGACGCCACGCAGCCAGATATCCGCGCGGACCTCATGTGGGTGGTCAGCGTCAGAGACAGCTTGGCCATCGCGCGACAGCGGCCTGACACGCTGTTGCGGGTGGTTGCAAAGCCTCATGTTCTGTTCGACACGGACGGCGAGCCTTCCTTGCGTCACTGGCAGGTGATCTTCCAGTTTCCGGCTGCGGACGGAGATATCGAGCCGTTTGCCCGCCGTCGGGCGTGGCAGCTTTCCTTGGACTCCCAGCCCAGCCTTGAGATCAAGCGTCTTCAGGAAGACGCCATGGCAATGACTCCGTTGACTAAGGTTGCCAGAGTAAAAGAGGCTTTGACCTCGCCCAGCTTTCGTGCTTGATGACGCGCGTGCCGTTTCGGGCCGCGCGTTCGTGTCGGCGCGTGCCGCGTCGGGCCGCGCGCTCGCGCGGACTGCTGCACCGCTGAAGCAGACGAAGAGAAAAGCCTAGCTTGTGCGCTTGACACGCGTGCCGTTTCGGGCCGCGTGCTCCAGCCCAGACTACAGCACGGCTTGGGCAGACGCAAAGAAAAGGCGCTCTCGGGGGGGAGGGAGGAGAGTTGAACTTGAAGCGCTCGTTGGGAGCTTTGGAAAGGGAAAGAGAAGAAAGAGAGAGAGAGAGAGAGAGAGAGAGAGAGAGAGAGAGAGAGAGAGAGAGAGAGAGAGAAAGAGAGAGAGAGAGAGAGAGAGAGAGACAGAGAAACAGAAAGAGAAAGAGAAAGAGAAAGAGAAAGAGAGAAAGAGAGAAAAAGAGAGAGAGAGAGAGAAGCAAGGGGCCAAGGACAGCTCTCCAAACTATAGTTGTTCACTGCTTTGAAACTTCCGCCCCCCGGCTCTGCCGGACCTTACTTGTACATATCTTTATATATACATGTGTATATATATATATGTACGCATATGTGTAAACATATACATAGATATATACTACATATGTATATATTCAGTATTATGTGTGTAAACGTCTCCGCGCCAGCGCTTTCTTTCTTTGTTTCGCCTTTTCACCAGCAAAGGGCCCCGGTGGATCCGTGCAAACCTGGACATGTGGGTTTTAGGGTTAAAGAGGGAAGAAACCCTGGCGACATAGCCTAGGTCCTCCAGTTTTGGAGGTTAGAATAAGGGCGCCAACAAGTTTTTTCCGGTTTTGTCTGTTTCAGTCGGGGCCAAAAAAAGACCTACCCCCTACTCCAAATACCCACTTGTTTTAGGGTATCATGTAAACCCTCTACTAAAAAAGGAGGTATTTACCATGGAAAACCTGGTTTTCCAAAAAATACCAACTAAAAAAAGTGGGTGTTTGGAGTAGGGGGTAGTACAGGAAACCAACGGGAAAAACCGAAAGGTTCCCTGAACTTTCCACCGAAGGGTGGGAAGCCACCAAAGCCGAAAGCCACCTGTGACACATCGCCACGCCAATCTGCAAATCCGGTTGTACCCCCTACTCCAAATACCCGGCCGTTTTTTTAGTTGGTATTTTTGGGAAAACATGGTTTTCCATGGTAAATACCTCCTTTTTTAGTAGAGGGTCGACATGATACCCTAAAAAGAGTGGGTATTGGGTGTAAGGGGTAGGGAGAGGCAAAGGAGGCGACGGGACAACATCCGTCCAACTGGACCCTTCTAAGCGTTTGCGTTCACTCTCCCTACTCCAAATACCCTCCTTTTCTAGGGTATGATGTCGGCCCTCGGCTAAAAAGGGAGGTATTCCCTCTGGAAAAAACAGGTTGTCCCAAAACTGCAGACTAAAAAAGGCCGGGTATTTTGAGATAGGGGTCATCTGAAGGGCTATTGACCACTCCGCTTCTATCGTCTTTGCCCTGGACGAACCCAAGCGAATTCCCCTCCCCCCGGCCGTTTTCCTTGGCTTCCCTTTGGGTCTTCCTTCGGCTTCTTTTTGGGTATCCCCAAATTCGGAAGCTTCCCTTCAACTTCCCTTGCTTCACCCAAAACCCCTAAAACCGGGGCCAAACTCGCCTCGCACGGCTGTGGTGAGGCTCGGATCGATCCAGGGTCCCCGGCCGGGCGCCGCGCGCCCGGCGCAGCACCGCAGCACAGGCCAAGGTGCGCCAGAGCAGCAGCGCCCCCTGCAGCACCGGCGCCCAAAAGCGCCGCACGCGCTCCTCGTGGGCCGCGGGGGTGACGTGCCAGCCGCGCTCGAGTGCAGCCGCTGGAGGGCGGATGGGGAGGGCGGGGTAAGGGGGGGGGAAGCGCCAAGGGAGGGAATGGATGGGTGGCAGAAACCAAAAGGGCGTGGATGTGTGTGTGTGTGTGCGTTGTTTGGGACCTCCAGGTTGTAAAATCATTGTACCTTGGTTTGGCCAAGAGCAAACAACACAGACAGGTCAAACCAAGCCCAAATCTTCAGCCGTGCCCTTTTGGGCGTTGTGAAAAAAGGTGGATTAAAGGAATCGCGAAAGCCTCGATTTCTCAAACACTTTGTTTGGGTTGATCAATAACCACAGGGGCTCCCCATGTACAAACAACCCTTACATGGATCTGTTGAAACTTCCCACAGACGATACTAGCGGGGTTTGGGCGGGAAAAGGTGTTGGAAAAGCCATAAATGTTTGCGTATTGCTCAAACCTTGCTGGGAATGACAACTGAGGTAGTTGAAAGCCATGGATTGTTGGCAGATTAAAGGGTGGGAGGGGTTGTCACTTGTTGGTAATACCCTCGGGAGCCCCCCAAAACGCGACAAACTTGTTAAGGAGAGGTTGGCCCTCATGCGGGACGCGCCAAAAATCATGGTTTCTGAATCTCCATATGGGTGTGTCTTTTCTTGCAAGACCACCAAATGGTGGTTTTTGTCCTAGTTCCCTTTCAAACCAACCAAAAAGGGGTTCAACCAACCAATAAGGGCGATAGACCCATATTTTCTCTACCCGATATGAAACAATCTGGACACCCCAAGGCAAAATTAAGCGTCCTCCACCACTTCCACGGCAGCTTCCAGCAAATCCCCGACATTCGAGTGGCCATCTGCTGCACGGAAAGGTCCATCCGCTCGGACGCCTACCTGAGGCACATGTTGGGATGCCCGTGGATAAAAGAAACTGCGTCAGAAATAAATGAGTGCGTGTAGATGTGTATATGTATATGTGAATTATTATTGGTTCATCTAATTGTTTCAGCTAGTCCTCTATCTATGAATGATGTATGCTCTTACATGTGTGCGTTGAAGTGTACGTACGTACTTGAATGCATTTGGACTACCATGTTCATCGGAGCGTGTTTTGATTCTGATTATGAGCAAACACAAACCCGCAGATGTCTTACGCCCCCGATTGTCTACATCAACGCGAGAAGAGTTATTCTTGTACATGCACATCTATTCATGCGTTACTCCCCTGCAAATTGCCATGGAACCCAAAAAGGATGTCCCCCAGCTTCCTCTACAAACGGGTGTTTTTCAGGTTCCACGTTCATCGGCAGAGTACTGGCTCGCCCCAAAATGCTCACCCCAAGCTGTGCTTCAAGCTGGACACCAATGTACCAAGGGATATTGATTTCCTAACCAACTAACATGCCTTCACTTACTAAAAAACAAACACCCAAGCCCAGATTCAACCCCTCCCCCAACCCCCCCCCCCCCCCCCACAAACCCCAACCAACATTGTAGGGGTTCTTGGCTGCATGGCTCTAAGTGTCCCTGCCACCCCTCCCCTAAAAGCCCCCACCCTGCCTCCCTCCACTTACGAAAGGAAAAAAAACCTCCTTTCAACTCCAACCCCCCCCTTCACCACCCCCCCGCCCAACAAACCCCAACCACGCACCCACCCACCCCCTTCTTCGCCCCCCACCCCACCCCGGGCGCTTGTGCCTTCGCCGCGCCCAGCGCCGCCGACACCTCGGCCACCAGCGCCTCCAACCCCCGGCTCTGCCGCAGGAAGCGGCGCCAGGCGCCGAAGGCCCAGCGGCAGGTCCTCGAGGTCCACGCGAACCGATGGAGTCGATCCCTTCGATCCGCATGAAATGGGGGAAAAAGACCGAGGGCTCTGAATCTGTAACGGTCACTCTTGCGTGTGTGTGTATATACATATATATGTATATGTATATATATATATATATGTCTATGTATGTATATATTTGTACGTATACATACAAGGTGTGTGTGTGTGTACATATATATATATATACACACAATTGTGTACATGTATATTGTGTATACAATATCGATTTGTATAGTTTAGTCTGAACCAAACCAAAAACAAATAAGCCTTGGCTAGTTCTAGTAGCTCCGAGCTAAGATGATGTAAGCATAAAAATAGATCGCCACGTGGATGTTCAAATTCCGTAGGCCAGATAAGTGGGAACAGGGCAACTTCCTTATCTTGCAGGACGTTCTTAGTGGGTGAGCTTGTGTTACCCCCCCCCTTGTTTTGGAGCTTGCCGCAAGCTCTCTTTTGCATGCCCAAAAACACCTGCCTTGGTTCTCACCAGGTGGAGAAGCCACATGGAATGAGTCCAGCTCATTTTGAGAAACACCAAGGAATGGACTTGCCCAAGGAGTGCCACGGTGGATGTTGCTTGGTGTAGGATGCCAAAGATATGACTCATTACTCTCCAGGCTTAAAGTATGGCTTGAAAACACACAGAAACAAACTCCCAAAAAAGGAAGGAGGGGGTTTTGGTCGATCTTCCGTCTAATTGGTGATTAAGTTTGGTGGTTTGGAGGTTTGACAACTCCCATAGCCACCAGATGTGGTTCATCTGAAACTGGCTGGTGAGACACGTGTCTCACAATGCAAAAACGCTAATCCCTTGCACAAATGTTCATCCATTTCCCCCCCCCCACCCCACCCCGCCCCCCCCCACCACCCCACCCCACCCCGCCCCACCGCGGGCAAGTGGGGGTGGGGGGTGGGGGGTGGGGTGGGGTGGGGTGGGGTGCGGTTGCCCAAGGCGCGCGACCAGCGCCAAGCGCAGGCGCCGGGCGCCCAGGCGCGCGGCGCTGCGCTGGGCGTCCCAAGCGGATGCCCGGAGGCCTCTGCATCTGCAGCGAGAGACGCAGGCGACGGAGGTCTACCCCCTCCAAATACCCTCGTTGTTTATGCTTACGGATTGATTACAGCCGCCCAAAAGCATGACAAACATCGCAGATTGTGACAGCCGGCCGAATATCTTGGATTTGTTGATGACTTCTGGCAGACCTCCTTGCCACACACGCACACACACTTACGCAGCTTTCCTCGTCGGGCGAAGCAGCGTGCGATGCCGCAAGACTTCCACTTTGTCGAGCTGGGGCCGCCGCAGTCTCCGGAGCGCACCCAAGACTTTGAACCATGGCCATGTGGATCAGGGGGGTCCGGCCAAAACCATGCAAATCCCAAGGGCTTCTTGCGGCATTCTCTAGGTTGAAGGCCCTGAGCAGGTGGCTCTTGTTCTCGATTTCTTGGGAACAAAACCGGGACCCTGGGGTCAATACAACATTTTTTCGTCTGTTTCTCGTTAGATCCATCGACCATGTAGTTTACTCACATAATTATGACGCAATGATTTTGAACTACCCCCTTGCCCCCCGCGAAAAAATACAACATAGGATTGAAACTGTTGCGGCCCCTACACCCAATTTGCTTTCCGCCCGCCAAGGCGCACAAGCGCTACTGGGCTCGGCAACGCCGTGCGTTTCGGTCACTGGGCAACGGGCATGCGGTGGACACAGATTCGGATGTGGAAGATGTTGTGGACTCTTGCTCGCCACTCTTGCGGTGGACTCTTGCAGTAAGGTCGAGACTTTGCTCGCCACATGTAATGCAGACTAGCGCTTCGTCTCCACCTGCAGATGGGCAAGCCACTGAGCAGCGGCTCGTTTGCATTTACTAACTTTTTGTTGGTGTCGAGCCTTCTTCTCGTGGCTCGCAGGAGTTGCAATGAGCTTGCCGAGCTGGAAGCAGGGACAGGCCCTCTCTCGTAGCATCCAAGAGTAAGCAGACCGGCTGCTTGACCTCACACATTTGAAACTCATTTGTGAAGCCAAGCTTGAAACACATTGCGAATGTTTTTCGCTACATGTTGTTGCTGAGGCTGTTTGAACCCCACGATCAAGGAGTATGCTCTTCAGTGGCAGTGGCGTTATGTCTGCCGCGGGCATGATCTCTTCCTGAAGACAGGCAAAGCGCTGGAAAGCTGGCGTCGGTGAGGTGACGCGCACGCGCTTGGGCGAGCCAGAAGCTGAAAAAAAGGGCGGCGGGAATCATTCCGTACGGTTGTTTATGGTATTTGTTTGAAGAAGAAAAAAAAACGGGGTTTCCGTGGTAAATACCTTTTTTAGTAGAGGGTCGACATCATACTCTAAAAAAGAGTAAGGGGTATGACACCATCAAATCGGTTTGCCCAGTGCTTTGGTGGAGGGGCGTCTCCTTTCTGTGTTTCACATCAGCTTCAATTTGGGATGGATCCGAATCGGTGGTTGGGTGGTTGAGGGGCTTCTCCTTTTGCCTACCAGCCGAAGATTCCCTTAAATTGGGCCTTTGAAGCCCGGGGGAGTTGGGTTGGTTTGGATTGCTGGCTTTCCAATTTACCCTCAAGAACCAGAAAAATCATCCCAAACCAATCCAAACCACTCATTAGCGGTTAGCTAACAAATAAATAGACCTAGAAAAACGAGGAGCAAACTCAAAACGTACCAGTAGATATGAACGAAACTGGGGTGTGTTCTCGGCTTGTAGTGTGGAGCATGGCTTGCGCCGATTTGAAGGCCGAGTTTACATGGACGCGAGCACTTGATTTGATCCCGCAAACGAGTCCGGCTTTTTGGGCCATTTTGGGGGATCCCAAAGTGCCGCACAGCCCCCAGAAAAAGAAAAGACTGCTAGGTGCCTGTCCTCAGTTGTCCAGTGGCTCCTTTTTCCCCCTTTTTTTTTGGGTGGCTGCCCGACGAAAATGGTCTTCCCAAAAAAGGGTTCCCTTTCTTTCTCCAGGGTCACTGAACAACTGAGTCTCGGATGGGGGAAGCCTGTTACAATTGAGCAATGCTTCTTTGGGTCGGGGGGGGGGGGGGGGAACACGATGCGCCAACTCAGGGGGCACCGCAGAGGGGTTTCCACGGTCAACTTGTCCAACTGGGCCCTGCACACACGCAAATTCACATGCATACACAGGTGATGCGTCTACTTGGGAAGCAAACTTGTCAGGCGCTTTCAAACTTTTCTCAATCCTCGGCTTGCTCTTTGTTTCTCTGCTAAAAGTTGTTTAACTTTTAGTGGTTTAATACGCAAAAACCCATCAATTGGCTGTGGCTCAAACCGGAATTCCAAAATGGAACCCTGGTAAGTGGAAACATGGACCAAAACCTGCGGTTGGCCCCTCCTGGTTCATTTTGAGCCACACCCAATTGGCAAAAAGTTGTTCAGTCCTAGCAGCCCTCGGCAAAATCCACCAAAGGAGTCCCTGCCAAGCGTCACAGATCCAGCTGCCGACGCCGCCACTGCAAAGTCGCCCAGCCGGCCCAGGCTACTACGACCTGAAGATGGTAGAGAAAATGAAGATTTCTTGGAACACAAAATATCGGCCTCTCGTGTAAAATGACTGGAGACAAACAGGTGTCCAAACCTCATTTTGCGTTTTTTTTTTTGCCTCGAAGTCATCGATTGGCATCGATTATTGGCCGTAAACATATCGCATAGCCGATCGCCGGAAGGCCAGGGCTCGTCCGGAATGGGTGGTTCCCCCGTAAGCTCCGAATACCCGATGCCTTCTACTAAGGGTCTGATTTGTCGACCCGCTACTCAAAAAGGGATCGGTATTTGTTTGCCACGGAAAACCGAAACCGGCTTTTCCCCCAAAATACCCACTAGAAAAAGGCCGGGTATTTGGAGCAGGGGGTTTGTTCAAGTGACCTCAGTTTTTCAACAGAAGTGCCGGCGCTGCATTGGAGCCTTGTCTCATAAGTGGCTGTGGGTCAAAAACATGTACCCAACATGGCCCCTGGGCAAATGGGAAAAAAACAAAAACGTGCGTAACCCCTGCTCTTAAATTTTGAGCCACACCCAAGTCTTGTCAAAGCTTCGTGCGAACGCACTCAGTTCTTTCCTTGGGCGTCTGCCTGGCAGCCATCGAATTTGTGAAACGATCTCGCCCACAGATCTCAGGACGCGGAGGGCCTTCTAAAACTAGGCTGGAATTAGGACCCCAGCAAAAAAATGTGTTTTTTTGCCTGGTTAGTGGAAAGCAAAGGGACCCCATAAAAGCCAAAAACAAAAAGGAAGCTAGTTCTGGGGAAAATGATGGTCAGCCAATGGAAGAGGAGAGGATCGGACTTGATCCCCAAATCAAATGCGTCACCGAAACGCCCCCAAGCCCATCACCGACACCCGCAAACCCCGAACAAAAACCTATTAGTATCATTTTGTGTGTCATGTTCAATACATTTATGCATTTTTATAAATGATTCAAATGAAGTGGATGTATTTTTGAGACCAAAAGAGCTTTGTGTCAGCCCATGCAGAAAAGCATTCACGGGCCTCACTCCCCTCCCTCCCCCTGCCTCCCTCCCTCCCTCCCTCCCTCCCTCCCTCCCTCCCTCCCTCCCTCCTACCCACCCCTTGGGGGCGGCGCCTGGAGGTTTTCGGGGAATCCGGAAGGACTCCAATACCCCCAGACAGGTTTCTAGGGGTTGATTCCGATTCGATTTCAACCGTTCTTTCCAAAAACCGGATCTGTTTTCGCTGGGTGTCCGGAGGTTTTCCAGAAAGAAGGATCCCTGGAAAGAATGGGGAAGGTACCCTTAGAAGGTTCCCTTTGTGAGGCACATCATGTCTTCAAATTCTACAAGAAATCCGAAACCTGAAATCAGAATTCGATGCTTCAGCACAGGGCCTACATCGCCTTCGCCTGCTTTTTCCCAGAATCGGTGAGCTTAACAGGCAGATGGGTGTGTTGGCAGTCAAAAACATCCAAAGTTATCCCACAACAGCAAGGAAGCTCTGGGCTTCTATATGGCATCAATTTTCATTAGGGACAAAGGGGGTGCCTAAGATGGGCGGTGTCCAAACAACATAAACCCAAATATGGTTCTGTCTAAAATAGCCGCCCCCAAAAAAAGACTTGGCGCTTTTGTTTGATGACTGGGCTCAACTGCACCCACCCCCCCACCTGCAGAAGCAGCGGCCTCCGCTCCCGCCGCCTTCCCGCGCGCCGAAAGGCCGCCGCAAGGCCCGCGGTCGCGCCGTGCCAGGCATTCCAGGAGCAGCGCAGCGCGAGCTGGTCCCTTGTCCCCACCTCACGACGCACACGAGCTGTCCGGGTGAGCTCGATTCCTTTGGCGCCGCAAAAAGTGGCGCAGCTGGGGTCGAAACGGGTCGCCCAAAAAAAAACAACGCCGGTCTTGGTCCATGTTTCCAGGTACCGGGCTCCGTTGTGGGGTCTTGACTGCTTGGGGCGCTGCGAGCTCTTTTCTTTCTTGCGAACCCATAAAATCCTTCGGTTGCTTTCTGCTCCCCTGCTAAAAGTTTAACCTTTAGTGGTTTAGTGGAAAACCCATTAGTTGTCAAAAAGTTAAAGTCCTAACAGCCCTTGGCAAAATGCACCAAAGATCCCATGCTGGAGTGTTGCGAACCCACATCCCACGGAGCCGAGAGGCGCCAAAACGAGACTAAAGTGTTGCTTGAAATCCTCGGAGAAAAAAAGAAAAAAACCTTTCGAGGGGCACCAAAACTTGGGTGCTGTGGCTCCCCCAGTAAGCTTTTTGCTGGTTAAAAGGAAGTATGAACGGAATCCAGAGAGTTAAAGTCTACAGATCTTCGAGAGGCACCAGTTCCACGCTGGTTTTGCTTGAAATCCTCGGAAAATCCCATTCGAGAGGCACCAACACCATGTCATGTGTGTTTTTGCTTGACATCCACCGAACTCCACGCGCCGGGTACAAACCTCTCGCGCCAGGGCGCAAGGGAGGCCCAGAGGCGCCGCTTCACCGCGTCTTCGTTCCGCCGATTTTGGCGCTCCGTCCGCGTTTCCTGCTCCTAGCGCCAGCCATGGGTCAAAACCCAAATCCTAACCCCCAGTGAACGGGACCCAATCCAACCACTAAAATAGGAAGCCTGAAATGAAAACCCCCTAAGCCCCAGTGAACGGGACCCAATCCAACCACTAAAATCGGAAGCCTAAAATGGGTGGTGCATTCACCCAATCCAACCAAAATGGGATCGATACCAAAACGGTTTTGACCACCACAGCCGTCTTGAATCCGGGGAGATAAAAGGGTCGTCGAAGCACATGGTCTTCTTTCTGAAGCTGACAGGCACGGGGTGGACCGTTTTGCCGCCGGTTCCCTGGTTGATTTAGAGGGAGTCTCCCCTTTTGCTGAGTTCAAGCAACTCTTGGAGGGAACACCCCCTACTAATAGGTACTAATAGAATGGGCTTATATTCTGGGTTAAACATGTCATTTCGATGTTCAACCTGGTTAGGCTGTAGTCATGGTTATAAGCGGGACAGGGCTGGTTGAAAATCAACTAGGTTGAACATCCAAGTATGGATGGAAAACTGTATGCCCTCTTGATTTCGATTTGCTCTATGACTTGCACTTAACTGTCTTTGCTGGTTGACCTCTTGTGCTGTGGGTGACCAGCGGGGAGGGGTTTATGGGTTCCATTTCTTTCCGATGAATGGACTCCCATCCCAAATTGTGGGGATCATATCTTACTTTCCCAGGAAAAAATCAACTCGTTTTGCGCGAGGTTTTGACCTGCCCCCCATCAACTTGGCTTGGTGCTCAGGTTGGCCAACCTAGCTGCGGCCAATGACCCATAGACCCTGCGAAGGATTCGCTCTTGAATGGCCCAGGGCCGGCGAAATGAAGAAAAGGCGAATTGTCCATCACGAACTGTCCACATGTAAAAGGAGATGACCTGCTGCCGCGGATCTGAAACCATTCCCTTGAACTGGTGGACATCATGTAGGTGTGGAGTCACGTCCAGCATTTGAGAAAAGATCCTCAAAACAGAATTCGAAACCGTATTCTGGAAGCCCGACCGAATGCCAAAAGAGCCCATGATCGCGGGCGTTATCACAAAATGGCATTCACGTGTCTTTCTGCCCGAAGGGGCTCCCTACTGTGGATGGACGAAATCCTGCACCACCTAAGAAACCATGGGATGATGATTCCCTTGTAAATACCAACAAACAATGGTTTCAACCATGGTTTCAATTTGGTGCGAACGGATTTTGTCCATCCACAGTGTCAGCAACCCCCATTTTGGGATCCCATTTTGGTTGGATTGGGTGAATTCACCACCCAATTCAGGCGTCCTATTTCAGTGCACCATTTTGGGGTAGGTGAATTCACCACCCATTGTCGAACCTATTTTAGCGGTTGGATTGAATCGGATGTTCACTGGGGTTGGATTGGGTCCCGGTCACTGATTTGGCGAACCGATTTGGCTTTTGAAAAGCCCATGGCCACCAGTGCTTCAAGTCCGATCCAACCGGTTTTAGGTCGTGTTAACCACCTGACTCGCGTCATGTTCACCGACCTAACGTTGAATGACTTTCTGAAGGGGGGGGGCTTTGACCAAATGGGGGGTCCAGATGAGCATGTCCTAGGACACAAAGGACAGCCAGTCTGGGGGGTCCTGTGTAACACATGCCCAAATGAGTCTTACCCGTTAAAACTCCCTGCGCCCTGGGGAAGTTCTCATCTTTTACAGACAGAAATAGCCCAGGTTACCCAAAAAGTTGAAAAGTGGTGTTTTTAAGAGGTAAGGTTCACCCACCGGTTTTCGGGATGAACCACCAAACTCATAGCCAGATGTATCCACGAGGCCTCCTTTGCCACACCCCAAGATGGGTCAGTGCTCCAAAGATGGGTTTCTATGTCCTCCGGTAGAGTGGTTAGAAAATAAGGGTACCCTTTTGTAGTCTATTTTAGTAGGGGAACCCTCCCAAAATAAACAAAGGTAACAGGGCACTACTGGGAAACCTAGGTTTGTCAATCAAGACGGGGGACCTCCTATTTTGGGTGATGCTCTCTGGTTTCCCTTTGAAACAACCCCTACAAATGGTGCCGAAGACCGCTGCCGCAGATTCTTCCCGGGTGTGTCGTTGAATCGCTCCAAGCTCACCTAGTCTTTTCTCCTTGCAGCACGCTTTACTGCCCCTTATTTGCGCCGTCCATGTTACGACAGCCCCAGATTCAAGCTCAGCTGCTCTTGCACCTGGCTGCTGTCTCCGCCGTATCCTGGATTACCCCAGGTCACAACAGCCCCAGATTCAAGAATGGGATGCTCTGGACGTTCCTCAGCTGCTCTTGCACCTGGCTGCTGTCTCCGCCGTATCCTGGATTACCCCAGGTCACAACAGCCCCAGATTCAAAAATGGCGGCAAAAGCACTTCCAGTTGATTGGATGTGCTGGACATTCCTCAGCTGCTCTTGCACACGGCTGCTGTCTCCGCCGTATCCTGGATTACCCCAGGTCACAACAGCCCCAGATTCAAGAATGGCGGCAAAAGCACGTCCAGTTGCTTGGATGCTCTGGACGTTCCTCAGCTGCTCTTGCACCTGGCTGCTGTCTCCGCCGTATCCTGGATTACCCCAGGTCACAACAGCCCCAGATTCCAGAATAGCAGCAAAAGCACCGGAAGTTGCTTGGATGCACTTGACATTCCTCAGCTGCTCTTGCACACGGCTGCTGTCTCCGCCAGTTTCCGGATCACCCCAGGTCACAACAACCCCAAATTCAACAATGGCGGCAAAAGCACCTCGAGTTGCTTGGATGCTCTGGGCGTTCCTCAGCTGCTCTTGCACCTGGCTGCTGTCTCCGCCGTATCCTGGCCTACCCCAGGTCACAACAGCCCCAGACTCAAGAATGGCGGCAAAGCACTTCCAGTCGATTGGATGTGCTGGACGTTCCTCAACTGCTCTTGCACACGGCTGCTGTCTCCGCCATCTTCCGGATGTCCCCAGGTCACAACAGCCCCTAATTTAACAATGGCGGCAAAAGCACATTCAGTTGCTTGGATGCTCTGGACGTTCCTCAGCTGCTCTTGCACCTGGCTGCTGTCTCCGCCCAATTCTGGCGTACCCCAGGTCGCGACAGCACCAGATTCAAGCAATGCAGCAAAAGCACCAAGAGTTGCTTGGATGCTCTGGACGTTCCTCAGCAGCTCTTGCAACTGGCTGCTGTCTCCACCGCATGCCAAGTGTCCCCAGGTAACAACAGCCCCAGATTCAAGAATGGCAGCAAAAGCAACCGCAGTTGATTGGATACACTGAGCGTTCCTCAGCTGCTCTTGCACGTGGCTACAGTCTCCGCCATGTTCTGGATCACCGCAGGTCACAACCTCGCCCCCATGGCCATGCCAAGCAAATGCCTTGTTAGTGGCGGCCAGTTTGCCCTGCCCCACAACCGCAGTCACTGCGTCCCCATCTCGCAACCCGGCCTCGCTCAGCGTGGCCGTCAAATCGAGCTGCCGGCCTTTCGCAGTGAGCTTCAAGCGGCGCTGGAAATGCTTCTGCGCTGCAGCCTGCAGCTCTCTGACAGGCGTCGCTTGTGAGACTTCTACGGAGTAACCATCTCCACTGGCCAAGTGAACATCCACCTTCATGGCTGGGGAAGGTTCTTCTGGGTGCATTCGGTCGCTCCCTTTTTGAACAAGTGATTGAGGTGATGCCAGTCATTGGCGACCACACAAATCCTTCATGCCAGTGTCTAACCCGCACTTTGTACGGATTAACCTGAAGCCCGAGGTCAACGTCAGCAATCTTTTGCAAGCGGATGCGGGTGTACTGTTGACTTCGTGTTTGCGTGTTTGTGGGTTTGTGGGTTTGTGTGTTTGTGTTTGTATTTGTGTTTGTATTTGTGTTTGTGTTTGTTTTTGTGTGTTTGTGTTTGTGTGTGTGTGTGTTTGTGTTTGTGTTTGTGTTTGTGTTTGTGTTTGTGTTTGTGTTTGTGTTTGTGTCTGTGCTTTTGTGTTTTAGTGTTTTTGTGTTTTTGTGTTTGTGTGTTTGTGTGTTTGTGTCTTTGTGTGTTTGTGTGTTTGTGTGTTTGTGTGTTTGGGTGTTTGCGTGATTGTGTGTTTGTGTGTTTGTGTGTTTGTGTGTTTGTGTGTTTGTGTGTGTGTGTTTGTGGGTTTGTGTGTTTGTGTGTGTGTTTGTGTCTGTGTGTGTTTGTGTGTTGTGTGTTTGTGTGTTTGTGTGTTTGTGTTTGTGTTTGTGTTTGTGTTTGTGTTTGTGCTTGTGTGTGTTTGTGTTTGTGTTTGTGTTTGTGTGTGTGTGTGTTTGTGTTTGTGTTTGTGTTTGTGTTTGTGTTTGTGTTTGCTTGTGTTTGTGATTGTGTTTGTGTGTGTGTTTGTGTGTGTGTGTTTGTGTGTGTGTTTGTGGTTGTGTTTGTGTTTGTGTTTGTGTGTGTGTTTGTGTTTGTGTTTGTGTTTGTGTTTGTGTTTGTGTTTGTGTTTGTGATTGTGTTTGTGTTTGTGTTTGTGTTTGTGTTTGTGTTTGTGTTTGTGCTCGTGTTTGTGTTTGTGTTTGTGTTTGTGTTTGTGTTTGTGCTTGTGCTTGTGTTTGTGTTTGTGTTTGTGTTTGTGTGTGTGTGATTGTGTGTGTGTTTGTGTTTGTGTTTGTGTTTGTGTTTGTGTTTGTGTTTGTGTTTGTGTGTTCGCGTTTGTGCTTGTGTTTGTGTTTGTGTTTGTGTTTGTGTGTTTGTGTTTGTGTGTGTGTTTGTTTGGTTGTGTGCGCGTGCGTGTTTGTGTGTGTGTGTGTGCGTGTGCGTGTGCGTGTGCCTGTGCCTGTGCCTGTGCGTGTGCCTGTGCCTGTGCCTGTGCCTGTGCGTGTGGGTGTGCGCACGCGTGCGCGTGTGCGTGTGCGTGTGCGTGTGTGCGCGTGTGCGTGTGCGTGTGCGTGTGCGTGTGCGTGTGCGTGTGCGTGTGCGTATGTGTGTGTGTGTGTGTTCTTGCGTGTGTGTGTGTGTGTGTGTGTGTGTGTGTGTGTGTGTGTGTGTGTGTGTGTGTGTGTGTGTGTGTGTGTG